TGACTTTTTTATAGCCTTCTTCAAATTCGAACCTCTTTTTGATTGACCTAACTTGCCTTTACCAGGGAAAGTGCAGATGTTCTTTGTGCCCAAGCTGACGCCTCCTTTGCTTGTGCATGAAATCTTTTAATGTTTCAGTGCAAATTTCTGTGTGTTGTACCTATTAGAAATAAAGCAACTACCGAACATAAGGTCTGACTCAGTCGTAATATCATCCGTTAGCAAAAGCGCCTTTTAATTACCTACGGCCGCAAATTACCACCGCACATCCACCACAACCCCCGAGATTCCTGCTTGGAATAACTACTTTTTGGCTGGACTTCCTTTAAAAAAAAAACCCAATTCTCCTTTAAAAAAGCTCAATTCTCACCCTTCCCATTCAACATCTTACATACACATGCAATTTTTGGTCATTCCCGCCATCAACAGTTTGACTTAATTACATTTAGCATGCTTCATTTTATCTTATTTATCCCATGACCTTTTCTTTCCTTTCCGTTTCGCTTCTCCATGGCGGGCTTCAAATCGCAGTTTGTCATTATTTCAAATTACATTTGTCATCTTTACTCGCACTACTTTGTCATCGTCCCTTACAATAGATGACTGCGAGCAAGTCTCGCCACTCCAGTATACAACGTGAATTAGCAACCTAAGCTTTACAATATATCGGAAAAAATTGGCCTCGTACTCGAAATTTTGCATAGATATTGCGTGCGCTCATCTTTTTTGAAATGAATTTTTTTTTGGAAATGTTCCGGACCCCAGTGCGGTGAAAATCAAAATATTAAAAATTTAAAAGAGGTCATTCGAATCTGCATTACTTTTTAGCAAGACCAGTTAATCGAAAATACGGAGAGATTGGAGAGAACATCCAGGAGGCTTCAGGATACCTACAGAATGGTTATCGAAACTGAGCAGGTTTGTTCCCTGTTGTGTGCGCTTTATTTTTCTTTCACCGTTTACTTTAGAGATGTTCGGGTGCTTCTTTTTGTTGTAAATCCACCAGCAGTATCGATTTTTTGCCTAGAATTCTACCTATTGATTTGCTTATTCGCATGATTTTTTCTTTTTTTTTTTCATGTCACTTTTCGACATGGATTTTTTTCATGAACATGAAATTCATGAAATTCGACATGAATTCGAATGAAAAAATATAATTTTTTCATGTCACTTTTTTCTCGAAGCCCAAAATTTCATGTATTCATAGATTGGCGCAGAGGTGTTAGGTGATTTAAATTCTCAACGAGAAACAATAACGCGGGCCCGTGAGCGTATGCGACAAGCGGATACAGATTTGAATCGAAGTCATAAAGTGCTCTCATTGATGATTCGCAGGTAATATTTTCAATCGTTATTCATTTTCGATGATTTTCTATTGCAACAAGTGGGGACTGCATTCTCCAGTCAGAGATCACATATCGAAGAGAGGCCCAGGAGCGCAAATTCCATAGCTTTTACTAATTTCCTCTGATTATTATTTCGAGTGAAACATACCCGTTCCTTCATTCCCACCATGTTACAAGCAATTAGTGTACGGGTGCCTAAAAATGTCACGCAAGCTGAAATTCAAGTACTCGGTGAGCCGAAGAGAACAACCGAGTGCAGTACGTCCGACCTATTACTTTGTCACGGTGTAAACAGTTAAGCGGTCGTTCAGATTTAGCACCTTGGTTTGATCTCACTTTTGATAAGGAGGGAGTGAAACTCAAGAATTTGACTTGTTACTGGATTTGCTGATAACTGGTAGATATCACACATTAGTGGTTGATTATTCCCAAGGAGGGGATTGCTCCCTTAGATGGACATTTATAACGTTCCCCTGGCTGTTTTAAGTTTGTAGCCAAAGTGAGTAAGCCGCATTATAGATATACCGAGCATTTGGATACATTTTAGTGACTTAATATCATTGATGCTGTACATCGATAAACTGAGTAATTTTTGAAACCGTTAAAATGAAAGTCAAATCAGCGTGCTCTGTTTCTTTTTTTTTTTTTTTGCTTTTTGCTTTTTTTTTGAAAATATGCTTCTCATTGGCGCACTGAATTTTCAGAATAGTGCAGAATCGTTTGCTGCTGCTCATCATTGCAGTCTTGCTTCTATTCTCCTTACTATTTATCATTTACAAGTCTATCTAATATGTATTAGCATCTGTTCTGCTGTTAAATGTTTTCATGCGTTATATGAATTTTTCTGGTGAGACTGTTAGATCGGAAACATGCTTAGATAAGAATAAGAAATGAGTTAGGCTGGTATTGGCAAGAGAATTCTTATCGATTTGGCTTTGTCAAACGAAAATCTGCTTTACAAGGAACGGTATTTCTTACTTTTTCGAGCGTTTTTGCACCACTGAGTTACTAAATTGACGAGAAAATTGCTGAAAGAAAGCGGGATTTGTCATTTTCTGCGCAGGTCCTTGTTGAATTTAGAACAGGATCTAGTTCCGGCACATCTGCAGTTGTTTTCTTGAGCTGCTGGAAGTACACCGGTGCTTTTGAATCAAATTTTGGTCTTTTTTCTTACTTATGCGCTGAAAAAAGCATGCGTTTTGATTTGTCCTTCATGTATTGTC